TCATTCATCATATACACACGCTCTCTCAAAATAATAATTAATGAAACAAATAACTACCATCCTCGCAGCCTCTATTTTACTAGCATCATGCGGTGGCGAAAAAAAAGGCGATAAAAGTGCAGAACTTGCCCAATTAAAAAGCGAACGCGCTGCTCTAGATACCAAAATCAAAGCACTCGAAGCTACAGAAGGAAAAAATAATCCGCGCAAAGCCACGCCAGTAGCGGCTACAGAATTAATATATACGGTGTTCAATTCTTATATAGAAGTACAATCGCAAATATTGGGCGACGAAAACGTTTTGGCTACACCTCAAGCACCTGGAGTGGTTACACACATTAGTGTAAAAGTGGGTCAGCAAGTTAGTCGAGGTCAGGTATTGGCAACATTAGACGCTGCGGCTATTGATCAACAAGTGAAAGGCCTTGATGTGGCTGATTATATCTGGGCATCTTCAAAGAGTATTGTTAACTATGGTATTGAAGATGTTAATGACACTATGCGCTCCCTTACAAAAGTTATCGATCAATCTGTTCAGCAATTGCAATTTGCAATTACCAACTTGCGTAATATGAAAGATTTGAAACAAATTACTGATGCTTGTGTAAAAGTAAATAGCTTGGAGAATGAAGCTGATGAAATTTTAGATAATGCATTGAAGCAATTGTTCTTGTTAGAAACGAATGCTATTGAGCTAATCAAAAAGAAAGAACTATATCAAGATATGGAAATTGTGACAGATAAATGCGAAGACGTAGCTAATGTCATCGAGTCTATCATCATTAAATATTCATAAAATTTTCAAACTCTTTTTTATTAGGTCAAAATTGTATTTATGACGACTTACCTTTTAGTAATTATTGCCCTTGCCCTTATTTTTGACTACATCAACGGTTTTCATGATGCGGCCAATTCTATTGCAACTGTTGTGTCTACCAAAGTGCTTTCTCCATTTCAAGCGGTACTTTGGGCTGCTTTCTTTAACGTAGTAGCTTATTTCATTTTTAAAGACCATGCGGTAGCGAATACAATTGGTAAAACAGTTTTTAAAGATTTCATTACGCTTCCGGTTATTTTTTCGGGTCTTATTGCCGCTATATTTTGGAATTTGCTTACTTGGTGGTATGGTATTCCATCAAGTTCTTCACATACCCTAATTGGAGGTTTTGCTGGTGCCGCACTTACAGCTGCATTTATGAAAGACTCCTCATTAGAAGTAGCTCAAGTAATCGATAGCGGTAAAATCTGGAAAACTGTTGCCTTTATCTTTTTAGCACCACTCATAGGTATGGTTATTTCTATGTTTTACACCTTTGTAATGATTCATAGAAACACTTGGTGGAAATGTGGCATCCTAGGACTTACGGCTGTTGCGATGTGGTTTTTGTTTCAATATTTTCAAGAAGGGAAAATGATTGAAAATGTTTCCAAATTCTATCGTATCGACAAAAACAGCAAAATTGTTGAAGATGAAAATATTAAGCTTAAAAAGGAGCATAATCCTGAAAAAATAGCTGAAATAAGCAAAAAAATTGAAGAGGCACAGACAAAAGTAGATAAAGCAAAATCGGCTTTAGAAAAATCAAAACCATTTATTAGTCAATATGAAGACAAAGGTGGAGAATGGGTTGCGTCACAAATAGCTGACAATATTGATATCAAGACTACAATAATTAGTCGTTTTGGTGATAAGCTAAATGCTTACTATAAAACTGATCAGTTAAAAGCATTAGCCCAAAAGGATTCTACTATGAAAGATTCCTATAAATCTGCTAAAAATATGGTAGATAGCTTGAAACCAATTGCCAAATTGTATTATGAGGTGGGTTTTGATTCAATGGTCAATTTGATGCTTATCAAGCAGAACATCAATCCGCATGATGCTATTTCTTTTAAGAAAAAAATGCAAATGAATGTTCAGAAAGATTTAGCAAAAGAAATGGATAAAGCGAATAATCATACACTACGTTACTTTATTATTGGCGGCTTGCTCATCTTTATCATTAGCTTTTTATACAGCGAGAAAATTAAAGAACCAACTGCTGGAAGAACTGCAACTGTATTTAAACGCTTGCAATTGCTTAGTAGTGCAGGATTTAGTATCGGTCATGGTGGTAATGATGCGCAAAAAGTAATGGGTATTATTTCTGCAGCTATGGTAGCAAATGGTTCTTATAACGATGTTGGTACGGCAATGACAGAAGCTTCTTGGATTCCGATAGCTTGTTATATTGCAATAGGTTTAGGAACCCTTAGCGGTGGATGGAAAATTGTTAAAACAATGGGGTCTAAAATTACTAAAGTGACACCATTAGAGGGTGTTGCTGCCGAAACTGCTGGCGCAACAACTTTATTCTTGACAGAACAAATGGGTATTCCTGTAAGTACTACGCATACTATTACTGGTTCTATAATTGGTGCTGGTGCTACTAAAAGACTTTCAGCTGTTCGTTGGGGTGTTACCATCAATTTGCTTTGGGCTTGGATATTAACTATTCCTGTTAGTGCATTGCTTGCTGCAATTGTCTACTTTATAGTTTCTTTATTCTAGAGTTGATTAAAAAAATAATAGTAAAACCCGTTGTGCATTTAGGGAGAAATTAAAAAAAAGTGAAAAAAAAAGTTGTTCATTAGCTTAAAAAGCCGTATATTTAATTGAATTTCAAACGATTAAATAAATGAACAACTTTATACAAAAGTACGAGATTTTACTTAAAAATCTAAACAATTTGGCAGTGGATTTTAGTGGGTTTATTCA